ATATATAATAAAAAGCGGGGAATATTACTTCCAATAGTAATAAATACCATTATTACTGTTACATATAGCTATTCGAAATTTTACTTGTGGTTGTCATTGCAATAGTACATACACCTTGCCAAATTAAAAGCTCGCTTTGGTTTATGACAACCATATCATAAGTTGCATGGACCAATATTGTGTCTATGAGAACTGTAATACATTGTTAGGTCAACCATAACTTACATAGTTGGAGGAATTATAAAAATGTGGTTGGCTCCTAAAATGACTATAAATTATAGTGAGATTGTGCTAACCATTCTTTCTGTCAGTGTAGTATAACTAGTAGGTCCACTCTCTGTCGGCCCCTTTGATCTTTGCGGTCCCGATCACGTGGTATTCCAGCGATGTGTGTGTGTGTGTGTGTGTGTGTGTATACGTACTTATCAAAGCCACACTACCCCGCATACAATTTTTCTCTCACTGATCTGCCCAGAACAATGTCCGATGCGCAGAAGAGATAGACGCGACACGAAACGAATGACGAAGTGGACCTACTAGTTATACTACGGTTATACTCGGCGAACTCGCGCGCGGAAACGTTCACTTCTACCGTCTTAATTCCGATTTCTTCGGATTACCGACAACTGCATCAAAGCAATACCTACGCGATCGCGTACTTCTCTTTAGCCTGCATATTAAAACGTTCTCCACTCAATAAAGATTATGATAACTTGCAATGGTTCCGCTCGACGAGCGAAATAATCTTACGACAAATTTACGACGCTCCAGGCATGTACGTGTGTACGTACCAACAAAGTGGATCGCACCTTCTGGCAGAGGCCAACGGTCGTTCCGTTCGCGTCATTAAATTAACTTTCTGGTTGAATATGCATATGTATATTGGGGGCGCGGAAATGGCTTTCGGTCGTCCAAGTTGCTCCGTCAGAAACCGGCAGAATGCATTAATACGTTGAGAACTCGCATAATACCTTGAGAAGCGTATACCGACTGGTTATCCGATTCTGCGAAGTATGCACGTTGTTTGCGCAGTTAATTCGGACGTGGTGAACTGTTTGACGTTTTCACTAACACTTTGAAGCCTCGAAAGCGAAGAACATTACCGTTGAGTTTACGATTCATTCTGCTTACTTTATCTTCTCGTAAACGATACAGTACCGCAGAGGCGGAATTGATCGAACTTGATGAAATAAAAGATAGAGAAAATTGACTATAAACTAATCGTGTGTTCCGACACGTTAGGAAATTTAAAATGTAGTCGATCAAAGTCCGGGGCTTCTGAGACGCTCATTTAGTAACGGCACATCACAATAAAATGGTTTAGAATTTGATCGCCAGCCACGTGCTGCGCACGCTGAAGAGGCCTACGCGTATTTCTCACGACGGAGATGAGAACCACGGCGGAAGAGGGTCGATCGCAATTGATCGCAAAATTAGGTTGTGAACAAAAGCAACGGACGCCGAGACGAGAGGAAATACACAGCTAGCTAACCATGTAAGGCGGCTTCTCGGTATAAGAAAGGCAGCTAGGCGGCGGCCGAGCCGTTTATTATGGAAGATAATGAGTCCATTCAAATTCAATCTGGTCAAAAGGTATCGCCGGTTCGCCGGCTGTGTTATCTCGTACCGTCATTCAGATGAGTCGCTTAGCTTAGACGCTTATCAACTTTCTTCGGCCCGTCCGCAATCTCGTTCGGTAAAAATTCGTCGACTTGAACGTGCACGACGCAATTCGTATCGTCGCTTGCGAGGATAGGATGTCATGCGGGGCGTTTTTGCCATCGTAAACCCTGCGGGAGACGCAACTCGAGGAGCATAAATCGAATGGTCAGGTACTGCAGGCGCGCTCGTAGGAGAATAAAAGAGCGGATTCGTAATTGAAACGAGCCGTTCCGCACGTCCAACGTGATCCCGGCTCGCGTTGTTAAACGCGTCGCCTCGGATCGCCTCGACGCCAGATCGATTCGATCAGCCGAGCCGATCGGAGATCGCCAACGAGATACCCGCTGTCCGCGGCTCCCGCGTTCTCGATTTTGCAGGTGTAGGCGCGGACAAAGCGCGGAAAATCGGTCGTACAGCTGCTGGCTATCCTTAGACCGAGTATTGACGTTAAAGGCGCAAGTGGGTTAATAGTAAGGATTGGAGAACGCAGATGCGTGTTGCGTGCACGCGCGTATGTGTACGTACATGCGAGGATACTGCCGCGGTTCACTAGCGCGGCCACTGACAGTTGATGTTGATGAACGATCGCCCGCGGGTTCCGCGACGCGCCGGGCCGATTCGGTTGCAGCTGCATCTGGCTTGCGAAATATCCTCCCGCAAGCCACTGCCTTACTTTCGCACGCCCGTTTTTAGCCCTCCTTCCACATTAGACGAGAGTCGTTAACGGGGGCAACGAGAGCGATTCCGTCGAATCTAGAAAAGTCTATTTTTATGCCGCGCATCTAATTTCGCATCTTCTTCTTCTTCTTCTTCCTCGTGTATTAGGCTTAAAGCCTGTTTTATCTAGTTCGTTCTGGTACTTTGAGCATTTGGTTTTACTTCATCTTCGGTAGGTTGCTAATCTTGCCGAAGGAAACCTCCCATCCGGAGGCAAGATACTCTCCGGTGGTTGCCACTTCCCTGCGGGAGATTCCGAAAAGAACCAGCGGTGTCCGTGGATTTGAACTCGGAACTTTTCGTTAATTTGTTTACCGAGCAGCGCACATTTCTCTGCGCCACAATTCCGCATCGTCCTGCGGAAATGTCCAGAAACTCCGAAAGCGTAAAGTCTGCCATTGACGGCGATAATTTATCTATCACGGGTGAAACAGACAGAATTATTTACGATGCGCGAAATAAGGATTCAATGTCGTTGCCTTTCGAAGAGGTTCATACGGCACCATTAAGTTTCTAGCTGTTCTAGCGCGAAAAACGAACCATCTTGCTTTAATTCCTTCCGGAATTTCTCTCGGGAGAGAGAGACAGCAAAAAGATAGAAATACATGTCAATCGCGCAGCGGCGATGTTGGATTTGCAGCGGATTCGTCACGCGCGTGAAAACAGACGCTCGTAATGTAAGTAGGAAAGGAGACTAATGTCGCTATCGTTAGCAAGAACATCCTTCGACTTTTCTTGCGACAATTCAATTAGAAAGTGTAGCCGCTAATCGGGTGCGCGCGGCCCTTGCGTCGGGCCAGGGGATAGAACGGCTTCTCTTCTTCCTCACCGGGTATCATGAAAATGTCGTACTTTCAATTAATTAGTGCTCCAGACCGACGCCTCACGTTCACTCGGTCTCACGTCTCGCTCGACCTACTCCGCCGTTTTGTTATCGGATAGCTTTCTCGGGAACGATCTCGCGACTCTTCTTATCAGTTCTAATATCCGTGCGACAGGCGTGCGACGTTCGAGCGCGTTGCCGCTTCAATCCTGAAAGTCGGACGTGACGAAACGACACACAGAGTGTCGCGCGCGCCGTTTTGTGATCGATGCGCGTACCTGTGTGCAATCGGTAAATGTAATTTCCAATATTTTTTTTCGTTTGTCTCTTCGATCACAAAACCGGACTTGGGGATACCAGAGAGAGTCTCCCCCCCCCCCCCCCGCGAGAGGAGATTCCTCGTTATCACCCGCGATCCGTGTCAGGACCGCGAGCGAAGTATCCTTGGCCTCTAATCCATCGACGGCGAGTGGGACGGAGATCCTCTCTGGGCGACGATGGAAACTAGCGAAGAAATTGATTAAGGAAGATGAAGAAGTGGTCGAAGAAGGACGATAAGAAGAGCTGAAGAAGGACGTCTCACGGTGAAGGAGGAAGAGCTGGCCTAGAAACGTTGAGTCGGTGATCCCCGGCGATGTGTTCCGTACGTCCAGAAGTGACGAGGAAGAAGAAAGACGGGAGCAGGGGAGAGGAGAGGGGTCGGTGGGGTATGTTTCTTCCCCACCTCACGGTGGGGCGCGAGGCGGCGGGGAGCGGGGGGACAATCGGGCGGTAGCCCTCCTCTCCTTTTGACGGTCGCCGTCGACGATGATGGTAATGGTAAATGGCCCATGGAGAGGCTCTCTATTCCGCGCCTCCACTGGAAACGGGAGCACGCCACGTGAAAGTAGGAAGGGGAGGCTATAGCCGGACCGACGTCGCTTCGTGCGCCTCAGTCGTTCGTGGACCTCGAAGGACGATAGAGGTCGAAGAGGGCACTTCCTCCTCTCCTGGCCTCGCGGAATCTTTCGGCACGCTCTTCCTCGAGCCTCCTCTCGGTCCCCTTGTTCTTCTTCTTCTTCCTCCTCCTCCTCTTCTTCTTCTTCTTCTTCCTCTACCTACGTTCTGCTCCCGCAAGACCTCAGTGACGAGGGTCCCAGCAATAGGATAATCATCCGCCCGAGCGGTTCCAGGAGGAATTCGTCGTCCGTGCGAAGATATCGTTTTGTGAAGTCACATCGGCAACCTCGTGATAGTATCGGAAGAATGCGTCGTCAGCTTTCGCTCGTCCTCGGGGTCGTCCTGTTGGGCTGTCTTCAAGGTCGGTATCACTTTTCGGGATAGTGCCGCACGCTCGGAACTGTTCGAAAGCGATGTGGGACGCTGAGTGCCATTCGACGTGTTATTCCCAGTGCGCGCTCGTCACTTAGGGTTAAAGAAATAGCAAGGACGAAACGATCACGACGAAGTCATTTTCAAGACAATTCGAATGAGCCGATGTCACGCTATCCACTCGTTGAAGTAATATTTTTACTAATTTTCCAATCGGACCTATATTCAATTACGATACGCCGAACTTCGTTTCTCATTCAAGAATTAATAACGATACTCGTGTAATTTCTTTATAACGGATCATATCTCTTTTTTTTTTGTATTGTCTCAGTTTCTTTCGAGATTTTCGAAAAAAGTGGTAAGCTATCTACATTGTCATCACTTTTTACACTCGTTACCATGACTATTTGATTTTCCCGCTTCACGCATGGGTAATTAAGAAGCGAACAAAACCAGACTCGCAACCAGACGAATCCATTCGTTACTCCACGAAGAACGGTCGATCGAGAGTAAATCTCCTCGTTAATGACCTGCCACAAATACTTACAAGTGACGGACGTAATGTTAGAATTGATGCAAAATATTCGGATCGATACTAAAAGTAGTTCAATCTGTGAAATATCAAGATGACAACTTTGCATGATAGACAGGACTCGGTTAAAGTCAACTTAGCGTCAATTTTGAATGACGTTTCTACACACAACTATACTTATTTTACACAGAGATTTTTCAATTTAACTCAAGTTACAAATTAATTGGAATTTTTCTAAACGAAGATATTCGAAGATCATTGCGAGTCAACGAGCACAGGCACGATCGTTTAAATAATAGTTTCGCTCCTTACTCCTTTCCGGACACATTAACGATGCCGTTTGATTCGACGAAAATTACAAGTCGATATAAAAAGGAAAGTAGTACGTCAGCGCGCAAAGACGAATGAGCTTAAGAAAAATGACGGGAGCGCCTAAATAGCTATTCGGTCGGGAATGTGTCGAGGTGTGAAATTCAGATCTCCCGTTTATTTCTGACATACACGGAAGTTACGGTCCATGAGTACGGCTGTGATTAAGGAACCGTTTCTTCGTACGAGCCAACGAGGAGCAACAAGTAAATTAACGACGATGTTCACCGAAATTCATACACGTACGCGCGTATGTACCGACTGTACGCATCTTTCCCTTTCCCTCGCGGCGAAGGGTGTCGATAGAGGGGCACCCATTGAACCCGCCGCAAAGAGCCTAGCATCCACGGCCATACGCGACGCTCTTTCAGGGAGGAAAAAAAGGGGAGTGCAGGAAGAGGGCGAGGAAGAGTTTTTCGTTTTAATCTCTCGCACGCTCGCATCCTCGTGCACGAGTCGACTCACGGGGCCCGATCTCGTTCCTCTTCCTCTCGACTTCTCGATTTGCGTTCGCTGTATGGCCCTTTTACGTGGTTCAGTGGCGTAACTCCATCGGCACTCTCGCATTTTTGTCTGGATGCGCCGCGCAAAAAATACTCGTAATTACGGTTAGTCGAGCGGTGAACGAATTGGAAAATGCACGCTGCGAATGAACGTAATCCATAATCAAGAAGAATCTCGTCTCGCTAACAGTAGTTCCAAGTAATATAACTTTATTGCTTGTGGAGTACTTCGATCCAGATATCGAAAGAGAGCACGCCGACGGGCGAGGAAACATTACGCGCCGCGCATTCTTTTCGTGCCGCTTTATTTAATGAAAAATTCCCAATTAACCGCTTTACGGGAATTAACTCAATTCCGCAAGTTTGCTGCATCTCGCACTACCGCTAAACGAGAGCTGTTTGTAACCATAAGATAAATTAATGTCGGGACTCCATCACAAATTTTTTTCTCCGTGGCGTTATCTCCGGCGGAATGCACGCGGTGCAACCGGGAAGTACGTGACGGGTCTCTTATGGTTTCGCAGTCGGAGTTCCGGGCGATGGCTACGCTACTGCGAGAGAGTGCATAAAGGGCCCCGTGTAGGTCGCCTCGGGTGTTCGGCCGGGCACATATAACGCGCAAAACGATGAGTTAGCGGGGCTGACGCGCCTAATTAAGTATGCTAATCGTCGGCTAAAACTCGTTGCTCGTACGAACGAGTCTGGAAATCCACGGGATGCGCGATGCGCGCAAAAGGACTCGCGCGAGCGCGCGTGAGAATCCGCGAGTAACTAGTAGGCTCCGCCGGTGCCCTTAACGATAGCGAAACCCTCCGCACTTCTCGCTCGTAACGAACTTCCGATCCACGGTCTGTAATGATGCCCGGTATGCATCGCGACCGCCGCCGAGTCGGAAAGTATCCTCGTTCAAGTTACCGCGACGATAATGGCATCGCCATCGAGCAGAGTCGTCAAGCGTGTCGTGCGATTTATCCCCCGATTAACTAATCGCCGGCAGTCCATGCTGCAATTAAATAGTCTGGAGCGATCGATTGCGCGACTTGTTAACTGCATCATTGGACTTTGCGATGATCTTGATGGCTGCTAATTCATCCTAATTTATAAGATAAACGAGGGTCGCGCGTAACAAAGAGAAATCTCATTCTTCTGCGATACGTTTTATTCGCGTAAAATTATTATCTCAACGGCGTTCGATTGTTTCACGTGCAAAAACTTATCGCAGCGAAAAACTTTTCATTCATCCCCAGTCGAAATTTTGGTACTATTTTGACACTTTTAAGGATAATTTACACCTACCTAGCTGATCTATACACCCTACATAGACCAGCAATCACCTACTTTGATGACAATTATATTTTTTACTCCTCCCCTGAATCTTCAATTCTGAAAATTTACTTTAGCTTCTACTCAAAAGGATCTACTTTAATGCTAAACCGGCAAAAGTAGAATTTTCCAACACTATCAGTTTTAAAGTAGGAGTAAATTTTGTTTACTTGCAGTTCAACCTCTTTTACATGTCTTAGGCCCTACTGTATAATAGAATTAAAGAAATAAAAGTTTAACATAGGGCCAAAATTTCGAGATATCATATGGGATGAGTGATGAATGACGAGTGCCTTTGACTAAATTTATTTGGGTAAAATAATCTCTTCATTAAAGATTCGCGTACGATAAGTATATAGGTGCTATCGTTCAAACTACGTATTGCAGTTATTTCTCGTATTCTGTCAGATTCATATGAGATAGTATTGTTTATCGTAGCCGTACAGGCGCTTCAATTCGCCTCAGCTCGCAAGCGAGTTTCAAGATCAACGACAGTGAAACCGAACGTAACGAATTTCCTGCGGTAATAACGCGTGGTATAAAGCGCACATAAATTACGACGATCACCGACGAATTCATTGCTACGATTATATCTTCAATGCCATCGCATCGCGTAGCGCGGTTTATTTCCCAATTAACACAATACACGCTGGATTTTACTGGGTATTTAATAGCCGATAATTTATTGCGATCAGCGTAAGTGTCGGATCGTACACGTACGAGTTTCTCCTTTCCTGCACGGCCTATAGCGTCTATAAAACGGGATCGTTTCTTCCTAATCGCGCACTATTACGTAGCTCGATTCTCACTTCACGACATCGCAAATTTCATTAAGCCATCAGTGACGATAAATCACACGAGTGCGTAGTCAAACGACGCAGAAACGCGCGACACGAGTAAAGCCGGATTTATGGGGCCTGGACGTGAGAAATTGAAGGAGAGAACTCAAAAATATTTGTCGCGGTTCGTGGGATTTTTACTTCCGGATGTACTTTCGCGAGAAACTCTCAGGATGAAGAGTAACTACCGGGATTGGCGGTCTTTGAATGCTTAAGCTGCGAACGAGTTTCAACGCGGATGCAAAGAATCCCTAACGACGTGTTTGACCCTTTCAACTCGCTCAGCGAGATGCTTCCCTCCGTACAAGAGAGAAAAATTTCATTACAGAATCGTAATTCTATTTAGGGGTACAATTATAACTAAATACAATTACACAATTTACATAATTGCTCTGCGGGATATTTTCAAAATTACTTTCCCACTCAGAACTTCGGAATGACTCGGCGTTTACTTCTTAATCCTTTCATTTTTTCTCAATTATTCGCAAGAACGCGCGTATTATCTCTTTCGGAAGGTCTGATGAGATTTTAATTCTTCAACGAGGGCAGTTCTCTTGTTCTTAGATCGCTTGTCGGTGCAATTTGTAGCGAGGCACGAGAGAAGCAGAAATGAGGAGGGAGACAGTTGCATGCGCGGGCCCACACACCTTGAAAATTGCAAACTATTTTCATCGTCCCGAGGCGGCCATTGTCTTAGCATGAGTCGCCTTTTTAAGCCTACGTACTATAACAGGACTCGATCGGATTTCGAAAAACCAAATAATTGTAGTGCGGGCTAAACTCTACTACCAATCTCCTAGCACATCTTTATTTATGAAGTCTACAACCTAAATAGCTTATATACCTTGAATAATCGTATTCGAGAGTATTGCAATGTTACGTGTTCACATAAGTGTAAATTAAGTAGTGAAATATGTCACCAATATTATCAAATTCAACAATTGTTGATTCAATTAATAAATTATTAAACAAAGTACAAGAAACTTTTACGAGATATCCTTCATATTTATATCGGTATTTTAACATTTGCAATGTTACTGTGTACTTTAATAAGTAATAATTTTCTGAAACAGTTGTTTTTTGGTTCGTTGACTTTTTATTCTAATTATCTCGTGCAACTATTTATCTTACGAGTAAAATAATTTACAATCACAGTTTTAAAGCAACTTTAACTTTGTTGGATGTATAAAGACATTATTTAATGATATTTCTATATTCGCTAAATAATTTAAGAAGACACAATTGTAAGTATATAAATCAAACGCGAAATGACAATTTTATTCCTGCTTCTTAACGTAATCTCTAAGCAAATTCAAGCATTTATTTTCTTGTGACATCAATTTCAAAATGTCTTCTTTACTGAAACAAGTTTAGAGCGAGTCAATTTCTTGCATCAGTTTCCATATCCCTTTATAACGAAAAA